ATTTGCAACTAAGGAGGCATGCAGGATCTGTCTACCTCTCACAAAGGCGCTCTGGTTAAGTGATATAGTGTGTCTATGACCCCCACTACGCCTCTTTTATGTAAAATACCTTTGCGATGATCTTGTAGACACTTATCACTAAACTAATCAAGCAGTTGTCCAAGACCTTCATAGACTTATCCTTTTTTTTGGGATTGAAGTAATGAAAGTGGAGTTCATACTCTTGCACATGGACCCATTCAGATGAAATTTGTCAAAAACCTTCTTTAGATCCATCTTAATAATCTCCAAGGAACCCTTAAAAAATTATATTGTGAAACCATCAAGCATCAAAGATTTATCCCTGCCAAGCTCCCAAATGGCTCGTCTAGTTTCCTCCTCCTCTAATGGTCTCTCCAATGACGTAGCCTTATCTCTCTATATCAGACTCTAATCAATCCCCTCTAAGAAAGGTTGTGCTAGTTCATAATTTTTTTAGACAAAAAGTATAAACAATATACTAATGCTATAGCACCAAGAGAGTGCACATGTACAAAAGATATTTACATCTTTTTTTTTTTAGAGAAAAGAAAAATATTATTATGCACATAGGTACCAAGGGGGTACCACCAATATACAATAGCTAGTTACAAGACAATCAATTAGTTCATGACAATCTCAAAATCCTCCCGTGCATAACTCAGTAGCCTTAATAGCATTTTTTCTCCTCTGAGCATTCACTATTCTAGAAATAATCAAATATTGGCATCTCCTTCTTTGGCCCATTTAATTTTCTCCTCTTGTCTCCAACTTCTCTTCCCTCATTGGTGTCTCTTTCAAATCACTCTTTGACACTATTAGATTTTCCTTTTGTGCATTAGATATCACAATACAAATGTTAAGATATTCCTAATGAATCATATCTAAGGTTTAAATTGTTATATCCCAGTCTTTCATGTGTTGCCACAAAGCTTGACATGAATCATAAAAAGGAAAGGGTGCTACCTTGCTTCCATGCACAAGAGTAATCATGTCACCTAATCTACCAAGACTAGTAAAACAATTCTCACAACTTCTAACTAGTAACTATAGTTTGAGCCGTTCAACTTGCAACTAATTATTAGTTTAGTAAGATGTAGAAGTAATGATGTTGGTGAAAGTGGCAATATCAAAAGCAACTCTAATTAACTACCAAAATACATAAAAGAAACCATATTGACAATCAAAAGATTTTGCTTCTTGAACTAGAAAAGACAACATCACTAGAACACATTAAGCAACTCTAGAAAACCATATACGCGACAAGAATTTGGATGACTTGTATTCGACTCACAAATTTTAGAAGAAATTTAAAATAGAGAAAAAAACCCAGCAAGACAATCTGATACCTGTTCACATTAAAAGAGCAATGAAGTTTTGATTTAGGAATTTAATTGCAGATTTTAATTGAGGGCAGAACATGAGGCAAATTAGTTGCTTCCTTCTAGGGTTCGGATTAGTAGCATGGGTTAAGATTTTTGAGTTCAGGTCTAAAACAATAAGGGTGTTTAGGTTATATTGGGTTTGATAACAATATATACATATATGTATATATATACTCAGCGCACCCAGGAGCGTAGTTGAATACATCTATAAGCTACCTAGACAAGAGCAAGCAACTTACTGAATAGCCGACATGAAAAACTATTACATAAAGCAAAAATCCTCTGCACTTTATACCCTTAAAGTTTACAACTTAAACTTGGCTTACATCGCCAGGAAGTTTATATGTAATTTCTTTGGTAAATTTTTTCAGTTTTTAACAATGTAAAACAAAAGTTGAATCCATTAAAAACCACAGCATATTGCTGAAGTAAAATAGTCAATACATACCAAATGTAAATGGGGATTGATTGTTGGAGAACAAGACAGGGGCTTGATTGTTGGAGAATAATCCAGATTGAGTGTTGGCAAATCCAGAGAGGCTATTGGATAGTAACCCAGACTGACTGTTGGAAAATAATGCAGAGTGACTGTTCGAGAATAACCCGGATTGACTGTTGGAAAATAACCCAGAGTGGCTGTTGGAGAATAACCCGGATTGACTGTTGGAGAATGCTCCAGTGCTCCATGAAGTTGTGAAGCTTGTGGTTGAATTTTCTCGAGTTAAATGTGTCTTCTCTTGAAGTGGTTTTATCTCATTCTTATTTTCAGGCAACAATTTCTTCTCAGTGACATGAGATTCAGCTGGCGATGAATTGTCTCCTTTTACAGCATTCGCTTTGAGCCAGTTAACGACATCACTGAACTTCTCCTGCAAGGGGATAGATGGAGCAAACCTCTCAAGTTAGCCAAAAACAAAACATGAGCATCATGCTTTGCTTTTGTCTGCAGTACCATTTCATTTTTATGAAGACTTGGCATGGGAAACAAGGACTGTTGTGAACAAATACAGCTAAGGGCAATGTACAATCCATCACACTCTTCTTATTGAAGCAGTGAATTCACCAAGATGACAGCAAAATAATTCAGGGAAATTGGAGAGTCATACATAAACAAGCCTAGAGCTTGTTTATTTCTATTCTTAACTTAGTGTTCTGCATGATCCTAGAAAGAGCTCAACCATCACTAAAATGAATCAAACGCAAAATAAAAAGGCTAGTCCACAAAATATTCACATGAGTTATGCTGAGTATATAACCTTAAGGATGGCTCAAATTGGCTGTCCTTGTACCAGAAAACATATGCAGATGCAAAGAGGAAATGAAACTACAATGCTTACCATAATGTTAGAAGCATGAGCAAGGTAGTCTTGCACACCATCTTCCCAAAGTTCATCAGGGTGATTCTTGAGTTGTGCTTGCACCCAACTATTTGAAATAGAAGAAAATAAGAAAAAAAGGTCTACTTTTATGGTATCCAAAAATTAAAAAAAATAGAAGTTGCAAGGAAAGGATCGGTCATCATTCTGAAAAGTCAGTTAAGCATTGAATATTATAGAAACCTTGTAACAGCCTCCATATAGAATATGATTATGCAAGAAGCACAGATAGTTAGATAAACGCAGACTTATTGTTTTACTTGACACAAACTGTCTGAATTACAAGAGGCCACACCATTAAGTTGATACAATACAAAGAAGAGACTGCCTCATGCTAATCAACAAAAGCTCAATTCCTGGTAGAGAGCTAAAAAACGCACCTTGCAAATTGGTTGTTGAGTGCTCTCACGTGTCGCTGAGATGACTCGGCTCGGTGGATGTCCAAGGGCTGTGTCCCCACCTGTTGTGACGGTTCAGCTCTTTGCGCATCAAAAGGGGATCCAGACATTATTCTTTTATTCCGCAACTGTATTGTCATTAAAAATTCATGATAAGCCTCCAAATGTTGACTAATAACAGAATAAGGATCAAGAAGTATAGTAAGCATATGACATGAAATGTACATGGGCGGTACACCCTTGGTGCCTTCCTTAATATATTTCTATACTTTTATCTAAAAAAAAAGCATATGACATTAAACAAATAGTGCATGAAATACAATTTCCAGGAACTTTCTTTTTTTCGTTGAAAAAAAAAAGCAGAAATCTTGCTTTACTACTGATCTAAGATATTTATTCCAGAAATGTTTAAATAGGGCAAGCAGCTTTTCTGTTCTAGCTTACAGTCTCTTCCTTATGAACCATGGATTTGCTGTTGACAAATGGAGGTGATACCTGAAGTGAAGCAAAGCAACAATTCTGAGAAGTCTTTTAAAAACTAGAGCTTTGCTCTAAGGGCCATCTTCTGGACTCCACTGAGTTCCAGAAAGATTTGATGCAGAAAGGTTTGACCTAGGCTTTCTAAATGGATTAGGAACTATATTCCTTTCAAATCTGAAGTTATTATAATAGTTAGGAGTCTATTATTATAATTTTAGAAGTATTAAGAAACTTTTTTATGCTTTAAATTCTTTTTAATTTTCTTAGTAGGACTTCTAATAATAGTTAGATTAAGACCAAATTAAAGGCCAAAAAATATCTTTGTAATCTCTTCCATGAATCCTAGTAAAGCCATAATTCATATTCACAAAATTTTCTCAACAGAGATATTCTATATGGTTTTGCAATGAAATCAAACCCTCATCTTTTTTTTTGAGATAACAGTGTGAAATATATTAATGAAGAGGCGTTAAGGGTGAGCTGCCATGTACAAAAAGATAAAAAATTTACAAATCAATAAGTATATCTACAATAGAACCAAAGCCCTCCAAACTATCAAGATTGTGACCTAAAATAATAGATCCAGAAAAATATAACCACCTATCCTTGATAGTGACAAAATCCAACTCAATACCCTCAAAAACTCTATTGTTTCTTTCTTTCCAAATAATCCAGAAAATGGTCCCAAAAACCTGTCTCAGGCTCCACAGAGCCCAACTGTCCGAGAAAAGGGAAGAAAAAAAAAACAAATGAACAATCACAAAATCAAAAGCCAACGCAAATCTCTAAAACAACCAGTAAGTAACTTCCACTATCAATACTTTAGACATATTTAACCACCTCTTCCCTGAATTCCGAACACCGAAAACAATGAACAAATCACTGGACCAAGGTTTTCAAACCAGACTAGAAGTTAAATCTAAAGTTTATACGGAGTCTATAATAATTTTAATAGCATTAGAATTTGGATACATATAGTTTCACCTTTGTTGGTCTAACTCTCTCCAAAACAAAACATCATTGTTGTTTTCTTGCTATTGACTACCTTGAGTGTCCTTGTTAAACAAAAGGATAACTTTGTTATATTAATGACTGCATAGGTCGTGGTGGTTCTAATACTATTCTTGCTAGAGAGTCTCTTGCAATAATCAACAAAATCAATTGGATTAAATTTAATGTTATTCATGAAGTTTTAATATCTTAAAAAGGTAACATCTTTTAGACATGATTGTCTTTTAGGATGAAACAGAAAAATGAGGATTTTTTTTTTTTTATTTCCTTTGCAAGAGAAAATTTTAAAGCCACACAAGACTTTGTTCTCATTAGAGTGACACCATTATCCCCTTGTATAAATGTGACACTTCAAGCTAGTCTCTGTCCCAAAATAGAATAGGGCACACCACAAGGGATTAAAACTATAATCTTCCTTTCAATTTATATTTGTTCTGTAAGTTATTTTATGTTTCTTCCCTATAAAGATATCTAGTCATACTTAGATTAGCATTAAATTAAAGCTCTGTAAGAACCTCTGTAGTCTTTCTTATGAGAACCACTGTTCATGCTTAGAAAATCATATATGTTCTACATGATTGCATGATGCAATCAAATCCTCATCAATATGTGATCCTTAGGAGATCCTACGTGTGATTCCTAGTTATCTTTTTTTATTTTCAACTCAATTTCTTAGTGTGATATCTAAAATCCTTAAATTTAACCAAAGTTCTTAACAGAAATTAATCCTAGTTTTCCGCATCAAGTATGCCTTATATTATACATATAAATCTTTGCAT